ATATATATATTCATGTAAGCTATTATACACAGCAATTTTCTTCTTACCAGTTTTCTTGATATTTTAATTCTTATAAATTGTATTGATACAATTCCTATGTAAGGAAAAGTCCACACAAAACAAAGCCCAGTATCTGCTACCAAGCATAAAACCCCATTTACAATTTTGAAAGAAGACTTTCTTTTACCTCAGTCATAGAGAGCTGGAAATCCCTCCCCCATCCCATTTGTACGCAGAAGGAAAAAGGCCGTGTCACTCCTTGAGGACCTACTTGAAATCATCCAGTGATGTTGGTTTATTTTCTCCAGTCTTCTCTATATTACAGAACATAATTACTTTAGACATCTACTTCAAAGGAATTCCATGAAGCAAACAGAAAAAATAAAATTTCCAGATTAGGATAACATCAAAAATGAAAACAAATTACAATTTCTACATAATAAGTTGGCAACTAGCCTTTCTAACAAGGAAAGTTTTCTAAGTCCTTTTCTAAAAACTTCATAGGGAGGGTGGAGGGGTTGAAGGGAGGGCAGGAGAATGGGGAAAAAAATAAGAAGCAAGACATACCATGCAAAGGTACAAATTCCCAATAATGAATACCAGCACATTGTATATCTACAATGTACCAATAATTAATGAATGAAAAAAGAATAGATAGCATACAGACATTTAGACTATCTCCTTTTGAATTTTTCTATGGAGAATGCATTCTTGTGCCTTTTTTAGATTATTCTTCCAGCCTCATAAGCATCTTCTGAAACAATAGGTACTAAAAGTACATCATCACAAGAATTTATACATGGTGGCGACATTAATCATGGCATCCTACAACTGGAACATGCCTGAGACTGAGACTGATTCCTGCTTGATTAAATTCACTGAATTTGTGCACAAATTTTTAAAACAACATCGACATGTAATGAAACCAATTAGATCAATCACACAGCTAGGCTCAGGAAAGATGTAAGAAAGAAAAACTTTGTCTCAGAAACATTATGGCGCATTTGGCAGTCAAAAATAAGCAAGTCTAATCTCCCCTGAAAATCACTTTCTTTTGTGTCTCTTTCTTGCACAGACAGTTTACATAGAATGATTCATGCATTCCTATAAAGATGAAGGCACAAGTTTCATCTCATCAATTTATTTACCAACCTGAGACCAAGTAGAAATGTCAAGAAGAATGTCAAATTGGAACATGAATATTCTATAGGCAAATGGTAAACAATTTAACCTGGTACAGGAGAACCTGGCAGCAGCCTACCAGTCACCATGCCTTAAGTGTGTGCCTTAGGAATCAGGAGCAATTAGGAATGTGTCCCCTAGGAAGGACCCAGGGGAACTGACATCTCTGGAGGACAGGCACCTGATTAGTGGTGCTTTGTTTTGGGGGGTTTTTTTTTCGTTCTAAAAAAAGTGGAAAAAACAAATAGATTTGTACAGTTTTATCTTTCTCTATGTTTTCGTTACTCTGTAGGGCCTCTTATTCACTTTGTTGTTAAAATTGAACATCATGCCACTAGGTAACTAACGAGGAATAAAGACTGGCCAGCTCACCATCCTGAGAACTGTGTGAGGCCCTAAGTCCTGATTTGTGTGTCCTGAGTCTTTGTGCCGGAGGAGACAGTGGAGCCTCAAGACCACTTTAGATGGCCAGGCATGGTAGCACACGCCTGCAATCCCAGCACTCAAGAGGCTGAGGCAGGAGGATCGCTGTGAGTTCCAGACCAGCCTGGGCTACATATTGAGTTCTAGGTCAGTCTCAACTACATAGTGAGACCCTGTCTCAAAAAACAAACAAACAAATAAACAAAAAAGACCACTTCAGATGTGGGAAACATCAACACGAAATTTCATGGGAGCATTTAAACAAAAATAAGTTGGTCTTGATCTCAAACAAAATTTCCTCTGGGTTTGCAGTATTAAAGCTGTGGGTGATGTTACACAGCCCGGTTGTCCCAAGGCTGAGCTGTGGCACTCACAGTTGTACCTCTTGCCTCTTCCTGAAGAAGACGAACTGAGTAGACTGGTACCTCAGTTCATGAACTTGATTCTTTCCGTGATTCTGATTCCAAACTGAGTTGGATGAGAACTGAATCAAATTCAGTGGTTAGGTGTGATGTTGGTCTTGTGGGGAAATTTAATTGGTTCTCAATCAATTTGGTTTGTGACCAAGTTCCTGGAAAAGATCAAGTTTGTGGACTGAGGCACTGCACTATTATTCTGCACCATAACAGACATCTCTTTCAACTTCATCATTTCATAAAGGAGAAACACTGACAGTGGATTAAAACAATGCATTTATTGACATAAAACACTAATTTAATTTCAAACTTTCTGCTGAGCCGAATATGATTAGCCCCATTTTAGAGAGAAAAAACTTTGCTCTTCAGAGGTTCAAAGACTGGATCAAAGCGACACCATGTGTGAACCTGGGGCCAGATTCATGAAAGCAGAATTTGAAGGTCCCACCTCATTCCCCTGTCAAAGAAGTAATTATTAAAAATAAAGTGATTGCGGTTCTCAATACCCGATCCTAAGGAAGACTGTTGTACGTGATGGGTGGTTTATAATCTTGGAGAAGTTGGAGGAAATTAATTTCATTTTTCAGTTTGGATCCATTGCAGCAC